GCATTGCTTGTTATGCCAGTATTCTCATTCAATCACAAATGTAGGGGGTGGTCGGTGACTTTTGAGACGGGAGTGTATTTGGTGAATTAATGATGTTAATAAATGAAATATGAAACTTGATTAGAATATCGGGCATAGCTGATAGGGAAATATACTGCTTCGGAACTCCTAGATAGAAGCAGAAGATAGTAACACAAAGCAGGTAAAGCATTTTTAACAAATATTTATTAAAGTAATATTGTGATATTATAAATAAACATTGTAAACGTTAATATTAACAAGGCAAAGCCAATCTAATCTTTTTCTGTTGCAAAGAAAAAATTCTCAAATCTACACCTATGCTGGCACCTTCAAACTTCTCAATCTTTTTTTCTACATCTAAATAGTTACTACCAATATTACAGGCTGTGAATGGCTCAATCTGTGCACATGTCCAATCACTACTTTTAGAAATATTCCATAAGAATAATGAGTATTCAGTGAAAACCTTATTCAGTTCAGTGATTTTTGTTAATAAATTCCATGTTCCTAAAAACTTCCCAGGCTTTCCTGAAAGGCCATATATCATTGTCAATAACATGTCAATATCAAGGCCACTCATAGACAATCCTGCAACTGTTTTTGACCCCTGCTTTAAAACAACCAATGTTGGAGCAGAATGTAAATATGATTTAAAAAACTCATGAAATGATGGTAAAGAAAATTTTATCTTCTTGTGGTATGAGAGAACAAAATTATATGAAGTTTTAACCCTTGGCCAATTCTTGGTGGTTTGCATGAATGAACTCTTGATATTTTCTGTCTCCCGAGTAACTAATACCTTTTGTATTGCATCAGTAAACGGAATTGGTAAAGAATCAGGTTGAGCATGTATTTCTATTTCAGTACTTGCCAAACCCAAAACTTTGAAATTTGCTGACAGTTCATTTGTGAAAATATCACAATCTTTGTACCAGTTTAGCTCTTCAAAATCACCATGAAATATTTGATTAAATGGAAGGTGATGGAAATGAGCATATCTTTCTGGTCTTTGACCAAACCTCACTTCCTGCAATACCCCTGATATGGTGTTTGCCAGCAGATCAAAATGCTTTGATTTCCACTGGTGGAAGGGCTCTTTTACCAAACTTGTATTCCTTTCAATGCCCCATTTGATTAAAACGTCTAAAAATACTTCTCCATTACCATACTGACATGCCCTTTTTGCAAGAATCTTCATTATATCCTCATGGAGATCGGACAGATTAGGATGATTGTAAAAATTCCAAGGGTTTTGTTCGAACATTGCTACAAAATCATGTTGGCATGATTTCAGACTAGAATAATTGTAAATAGTGTTGACCGCAGCGATAAAAAAGTGCGGAGGTTTCAATGATCTTTTTATAGAATTTAACCATGCTGAAAAGATTGAACCAAGCAATGTGTCGATCAACAGCTCATCTGAGTAGAGAAACAAATCCTTTGCATGAGCTTCCAAAACATTATTTGGTATATTTTCGAAATACATGAACCTGCAACGTGATTGAAAGTCAGTTCAAGATTTCCTCAACAAACGGTTAATGGGCAACGTCTCGATTACTTACTTTAATATTTCCTCAAACAGTTCAGGCGATATGTCTGGTTTGTGTATGACAGCTACACCATTCTCTCTGCGTATCCACGTGTTAGATAATGCTATATTGAAAAATTCCGAACGTTGTCTCAATTTGACCGAGTGCGTAAGGAACGACACAGCATTCTCATTCGCTCCGACTATAATTTTTGCATCAAAATGATAAATCTGTATGTGTTCGAACGCATCTTCATCGCTTGTAAGACGCACGTATAATGATGATACATCAGTTATTGCCGACATCGAGTTGAGGGAAAGTTTCGGTGTGACCGCTTTTGATTTGTGTTACTAAGTAAGACAGGATAATTGGTTCGATAAACCTAATACCGACACTTCCTACCTACTACTACTCTGCCTAGCACGGAGCAAAAAATTGAGTCCTGAAATTTTAGGTGATGTCACGTCTTGGTTGTTCGAGCAAAGCAATTGTGTAGTGAAAATTGCATTCTTGAGGCTGGATTTCAATTAATACTGACGTTTACTGATAATAGTTTTAATGTTATTTGAACAGTGCATGATAGTATACAGCTGTACCATTTTGTCACGCTGGCTTCCACTAAAGATAATCCTTAGTTTAGTTTATAATAATAATAGAAACTATGAAGGTGAGCGAGAGAGGATAATTTTCTCAACATCCACAACACGGCGCGACGTTGTGCTAATACTAAATCCTTGGCGTAATGAAGAAGTAATAGTAAGATTTCTAACAGCTGGGAACACGGAGATTTTACTTAGTAAGATTTCTTACAGAAAACTGATTACTTAGTAAGAAATCTGAAGCTCAAAGTTAATGTTGCTAAAAATAGGACAATTAGTAGCTCGAAAGCTATAAGTCAGCTAGTTTCGGTGTGTTTCAAGTGTCTTATAGTTCGAATAATAATAATATTATTATATTATCTTGTAAATAAACGAGTATCGCATTTACTCTAATCATAAACATATTTTACGTATTTCCCTGAATTATTCAATATAGTTTTAAACCGCTAATCCCTATATCGGAAAAGGAAATCGATTCTTGTCCTTCGATTATCTGAGTAGCGAATTAATATTAAGATATTTAATTGATGAGTATACGCGTTAATAATTGGGTATATTTTATAACGGACAGACTGTCGAAAGAATCCAATTATCTATCTAGGATTTAGTGTCACGATCCGGCAAACGGAAGTGCCGTCAGTGTAAAAGCCTAAACGAAAGGTCACTTGTCAGTCTGGTTAAACTCTTAGTAGGAGGCGCTACGCTCCGTTCGAAGAAAGTTAAATTCTTACGAGTCACGTGTCATTCCGCTCTCCCGTGACATTTGTCTGAAAAGTTTACATCATTATGATAAACGGCATCCTCACGTCTTGTCATTGTACGTCTTATCAATAAGGTTCATGGTATCAATATAAAGTCCCTGCGCATCTGGACGCCAATCGGCAAGTTTTTTATATGGTTCTGGCTGAATCAAGCATCAGTGGTCGTAGTCGCCCATAATAATAATATCGCATAGTAAATCGCTATCGAACTGCCTACCCTATAGACGATATAAACTAACTTTATTTCAATATAACATGTGACCTCATACCCAGTAGGTAAGACCTAGACCTTACTAGCATGTTTACTCTCCTTCTCAAGACGTGATAAAGGTCTTACATTATTATGATAAATA